AAGACGTTTACCTGTGCTTTATGGACAACATTGTGAAGAACAAGTATTCCAGAACACTTAATTGTGCTCATGAGGAACCTGTACATGGATCAAGAGACAGTTGTTTGAACAGAACAAGAGAACACTGAATGGTTTAAAATTAGGAAAGGTGTATGCTAGGGTTGTATTCTTTCACCATACTTATTTAATCTGTATGTTGAGCTGGACTATATGAAGAAAAACATGACATCAGGGTTGAAAGATAACTCATTAACAACCTATGATATGTAGATGATACAACCTTGCATGCTAAAACTGAAGAGGGCTTAAAATACTTACTGATGAAAATCAAAGACCACAGCCTTCAGTATGGATTACACCTCAATATAAGAAAACAAAAATCCTCACCACTGGAGTAATAAATAACATTCATATAAATGGAGAAAGATAGAAGTTGTCAAAGACTGCATTTTGCTTGTATCCATTATCAATACGCATAGAAACAGCACTCAAGAAATCATTAGGCAAATCTGCAGCACAAGACCTCTTTAAAGTATTGAAGGTTGAAGCGCAAAGATGTCAGTTTGAGAACTAATGTGGGCCTGACCCAAACCACCATATTTTCAATAACCTCATATGCATGGGAAAGCTGGACAATGAATAATGAAGACCATAGAAGAATTGATGCACTTGAGTTATGGTGTTGGAGGGGAATATTAAAAGGATCATGGATTGCCAAAAGAACAAAGAAATCTGTGTTGGAAGAAGTACAGCCAGAGTGCTCCTTAGAATCCAGGATGGTAGACCTCATCACTTATACTTGGGACATATTGTCAGAAGAGACCAGTCCATGGAGAAGGACATAATGCTTGGTAAAATGGAGGGTCTGTGAAAAAGAGCAAGAGCCCCAATGAGATGGATTTGTACAGTGTTAGCAGCACTGGTAGTAAATATACCAACAATTATGAAGTTGGCACAGTACCGGGAAGTGTTTTCATTCTGCTGTGCATAAGGTCACTAGGTACCCAATAACAACATATATCAAAAGAGATTAATTCAAGATACAACATTATCCTGTGGATTGGATCTGTCCTCATTAACATCGTGGTAGTGTGGATCTACAACACGCAGGTTAATTACATCAGACCAAGGCCAATCCCATCAGATACCATCTAATATATGATAGTATATTAGATGTCATTGGGGGGATTCAAAAATCTAACCAAACCTGCTGCCATGGCGTTTACTTTGAGGCTGTAAATCGTTATAAGAACTGAAAGCCTCATCTTTCCCCTGAGAATTTGAACTGCCTGTAGACCTTGCAGTTAGCAGTCCGGTGTTTATCCTACAGAGCTTCATTGGGGATCACTGCCTCGTAACTACAAAACCACAGGGAATCCAGATCCAGCCAAGTTGACACAAAGCCTTAACTATCACAGTGTACAGCGTTACTGTGCTGGGAGGGCATCTGGGTCTTAGCCCTGCCCCTAAGTGTAGGTCACCTTGAGTGACCCCAGATGCTTCTTAAAAAGAAAAGAAAAAAACTAAAGTCCACAAAGAAAAGAAGACATTAGATCACACAGCGTAGACCTCAGCAATATTACTTAAAGTGGGTTTCACAGAACACCTATCCCATGGGATGCTAAAAAGTAATATGAGAAAAAACATCTCTGCCATCAGACAAATCAAGTGTATGCTGGATTAACTATTGCGGGACTTTCCAGTGCCTTCAGCATGATCACTTAAGATTTCTAAGAGGAAAGCTTCTTATGCTGTATCTTCCAAAGTTCTTGAAATAGATGAAGTATTTTTTCATTGAGCCTCTTAAGGGATGTATGTATCACACAACCGTTTTCAGAAACAAAACAACAGGAGCCGCGTCCAATTCATTCTCCCCACAACCTTAGTACCTCAACCATTGCTTACCACTTTGAAAGTGCTCAATGAACAGTTTCGTAATGCGTGCATACATGAATGAATGAATGGGTGAGAGAGTGAAATCAACACCTTAGGCACATTAGGAGTCAAAACATCTCTCAAGTAAATGAAATTGATCCCCTGTTGTTGTTGTAAGTTGGGGTGGATTCTATTCTGTCTCACAGTCACTCCACATGGGCCGAGTAGAACATAGCGGTTTCAAAGCTATGATCTTTCAGAAGCAGAACGCCAGACCTGCCTTCCAAGGTGCGGCTGGGTGCGTTCAAATTGGCAACCTTTTAGCTAGTCACGGGGCACTTAACTGTTTGTGCTACCCAAGCACCCCTGGTTCCCTGCAATCACTTCATAAACAATTCTACTACTACCGGAGAGTCAGAGAAAAAGAGGAAGACCCCCAACAAGATGGATTGGCACAGCGGCAGCACGGATGGGCTCAAATACAGCAACGATTGTGAGGTTGGCGCAGGGCTGGGCAGTGTTTTGTTCTGTTGTGCATAAGGTCACTATGAGTAGGTACGTAACGACTGATTTTACAGGGCTTGTCCCACCTATGCTGAGTCCAATAAGTGTAAATCTCAATTCTGCAGTGCTTTGGGGAGGCAGGGATGAGTCTCAGGGATGTATAGATTCCCATGGTTGTTGTTGTTGTTATGTGCTGTCGAGTCAATTCCGACCCATAGCAACCCTGTACAGGGTTTCTGAGGCTGTAAATCTTTATGGGAGCAGAAAGACTCATCTTTCTCCTGCAGAACAGCTGATAGTTTCTAACTGCTGACCTTGAGGTTCACAGCCCGATTCGTAACCACTACGCTACCAGAGCTCCTTGATTCCCATGGTACTTAGATCTAAAGGGAATTCCTGTAGGCAGGAATCCTAGAGCAGATGAACCATCTGGAAGGATGCTTAGCATTGGCAGTGTGGCTGGTTGGGTGGGCTGCATGGGACATGGGGACATATGTATTGGTGGCCTGGTAGAGGGGGATGTGGATGGCCACGGTGAAATTCCTCCCTGACTGTCCTTACACCTCTCATCTGATCCAAGCCCAGTTGCCAGATGGTTTTCCTAATCGTCTCACAGGCCTGCAGTTCCTCCCTGGGGCCGATGGACAAAACCCTCACCCTTGACCTTGGAATCTCATCTCCAACCATTTACTTCGGAATACCACTCCAGTATTGCCTTTCACTGTGATCCTACAGAGAGTTCCTGTGGATGAATGTGACCAGCTGGCAATTGAAAGGTTGGAGGTTCAAGTGCACCTAGAAGTGCTTAAGAAGAAAGGCCTGGCAAACTACAGCCATGTAAACTGTAATAAAAGACAGTTCTACTCGGATACACATGGGGTTTGGTTGATTGTTGGTTATGATTCTACATGAATGTTCTGCTCCAGCTAAAGGATGCTCACTTGTCTTGACAGGCTAGACCTTGGTCTTCCCTTCAACAGTTACATGTTCTTGTAGGCTAACTCCCTGGTCCTCCCTCGGATAATCAGAGCCCCTTTCCCTTTACTTAAGGCTTCCCTGTTTTTCTTGAGCCAACTCTAGTCTCACTCCTTTGGGTGGGTGTAGAGGCTTCTGGGATGGCTCCTTGTTAGACAGGCATCTTATTTTGATGCTTTCTGTATCGTTCAATATTTTGCCTTTGGAATCCTTCGGTATATTGCATTAACCTGGAAGATACCGACACCTGTTTAGCATGATAGCAACCCACAAGCCTCCACTGACAGAGGGGGTGAGGGCAATGTTAGTTCAGTGGTTGAATTGTCACTTACATGCCAGAAGCCTGGATTTGATTCTGGCCGATGCACCTCTCAACTGAACTAAAAAACAAAACATAAAGTCAAACCTGTTGCCATCCAGTTGATTCTGACTCATGGAGACCCAGTATGTTATAGAGTAGAACCATCCCACAGGCCTTACTGGCTAGAATCTTTAGGAAGCTGATCACCAGCCCTTTCTTCCACAGCACCATCCAGTACAAGTTTGAATCACCAACCTTTAGCTTTAGAAGTCAAGAGCAAACCACCTAGTGACCTTTCTCAATGGACTGTTGTTGTTGTTGTTGTTGAGTGCCACCGAGTTGGTTCTGACTCATAGCGGCCCTCTGTAGGGTTTCTGAGGAGCAGTTGGTGAATTTGAACCATTGACCTTGTAGTTCAAACCACCTGCTGTCCCATGCATTAACCCACCATGCCACATCAGGCCTTCTTTTCAATGGACTACTGTCCTCAAATTCATCCCACTGACCACACTTTCAAGCTCAACCCCTTCTCCCTACTGTCCACGGTGCCCACTTCTGCTGCTATGACCACAGGTTGTCCCTGGGCTCTGAGGGTCTTTTCTGGCTGCTTGCCTTGCCATTCCTTGCTGGATTGACCCTTCCTCAGATCCGTTCTCAGCCCCAGTCCCCACCTCCTGTCCAGGTGGGCCGTTATGTCTCAGGACACCTTCACTCTGCTGTCCAGCAGTGACAGGCCATGGTGAAGGGAGAGAATAACTTTTGCTGGCCAATGTCCTTAGTGACTTTTCTCATTCGTGACCCTTACCCAAAAGACCTCAGGAAACATCTCCCGTGGGATGGTTTCATTTTCGACTTTCTGACCACAGCTTGACAGCAGATTTGAGGGGACCATAGGCTGAATGGAATCCTTGGGTGATGTAAATGTTTAGTCTACTTGGCTGATAATTACAAGGTTGGCAGTTCAGTCCACCCAAAGGTACCTCGAAAGAAAGGCCTGCCAATCTGCTTCTGAAAAACCAGCCATTGGAAATCCTATGATTCCACTGTGGCACACATGGGGTTGTCGTCTATGGCACCGGTTCTGATTCTGGAATAGAATGACTGCTAAAAGCTTCTCTTGGAGCTCAATGACCTCATATAACCCAGGCCACTTTTATTGGAATCTTTACACACTGATAAGTCCTCACCCCACCCCCACCCCCCAACACACACACACACACACACACACACACACACACACACACACACACAAAGCAGGTGACTGCTGGCCTTCTGGTTCAGTCTGGGGAGAAGGAGTCCCAGACCCTGGGATAGAGATCAGATATCCCCTGGCTTCCCACCACGGTCACCCTGCAGTTGGGTTGACAATTTTTCCCAGGAAAAGCAAGCTCTGGGTGGTCACATCCCAGATGAGCAACAGGAAAGGCCGGTTGAAATGAACGTGGGAAGCCGATGCTGCATTCAGGGACTGGGGCTGGGAGAGGAGGCCAGATGCAGCTCCGGCCTTGGTCCCCTTCTCGCTCATGTCCACCACTGCCTTGTGTGACACCTGGGGACAGAAGAGAGGACAGAGGTGGTATCAGTTCAGGGAGCTTCAAGGGGAGCAGGCAGCACGTTTTGCTGTCCCTCCTGCTCCAGCCCTCAGTTCTTTGCTCTCCTCACTCCCACTTTCTCTCCCTCCATCACACCTTGTTTCTTTTTACTTGAATCCACAATCAATACTCATGGGAGCAGCAGTTAGGGAATCCAATGATGTACTGCACATACCGCATCAGGCAAATCTGCTGCATTAGGCAAAATTTTAAAGTGATTAAGAGCAAAGATGGCACTTTGAGGACTAAAGTGAGTCTGACCCAATCTATGGTATTTTCAGTTGCCTCATATGCAGGTGAAGTTGGAGAATGAATAAGAAATGAATGAATTAGAAGTCCAGTGCTTATCCTACAGCGCTACATGGATGGGTGGACATAAACCAATAGTTTTCAGACTGAGTTCACTGGGACCCTAGCTCCTTAGAGAAGACTGGCAGGTGGACTGGTGCCCCAAGCTCCTGGTTCACCTCCAAGATAGCACATGACTTCCCACTTCACTTGCAGCCAGCTTCCTAGAAGAAAGGATTCTGAGCCTTACAATGTGGAAAACCTTGGCCTGGTGATTCCTTTCTTTAAAAAACAAACTATGAAAAGGTAAATCTAGCATTGAAGGTTAGCAGTGAAAGAAATTCTTTAAAAGGTGACTTTTGTGTGTGTGTGTACCGTTTCATACAGGAGTGCTGGTGGTGTGGTGGGTTACACATGTACTAGTAATTGCAAGGTCAGAAGTACTAATATATCAGCCAGTCCACTCTAGAAAGATGAGGTTTTCTGCTCCTGTAAAGATTTATAGTCTCAGAAACCCTATGCGGGGTTGCTATGAGTCAGAACTGACTTGACAGCACAGAACCACCATCAGCACCCTTGCCAACACACACACACACACACACACACACACACACACACACACACACCCCACACCCCACATCCTGAATGCTGGCTTGGTTTCACATTCAACTCTCAGCTGGTTTCCCAGGAAGTCTGGAGCCAAGACTCAGAAGGTAATTAATGACTGTTCCTCGAAGACAAAGACAAAGTTTCTTAATTGTAATTTTTATAGAAACAGATCACCAGGACTCTCTTACATGGCACCAATCAGTGAGTTTGAACCGCCAACTTTTAAGTTAGCAGCCAGTTGCAAACTGCTTCTGCCACCCTTCCTGTTAGAGGGCTCCAAGACCTCATCCTGCCTGGCAACATTTCAGGGCCTTTTATGGGAGAATACAACCCCACCCACAAATATTAGCCTTGACTTTGGGGCTTGCTTTGGACAATAGAGGAGACCTGATGGCTCTGTGGGTTAAGCACCGGGCTGTTAACCAAAAGGTCAGCTGCTCGAACCCACCAGCTGCTCCGTGGGAGAAAGACGAGGCTGTCTGCTTCCGTGAGGATGACATTCTTGGAGATCTTCTGGCAGGTCTACTGTGTCCTACCTACAGGGTCGCTCTGAGTTGGAATAGACTCGGTGGCAGTGAGCTCCTTGGTTGAGCTTGGCAGATGGCATGTGAGCAACTATAGCAGCAGCCATGTGTGGAGAAGCATGGAGCACTGGAGCCAATTTTCTTCTGTCTTTTTCCCATGGCTGTGAGACTGGCATGGTCCAGTTAGGGACTGCTCCTCGAACCTACATCCTCGCAGGAACAGGACATAGAAGCAGATGTGTAGCCAGCTGTGACTTGCCTATGGCATGCAATAGGCACTGTTACCACAAAACACTGAGGGTTGAGGCAGTTACCACAGCAAAACTGACTATTACCCAGTCTTGGTGAGGCACTGTAGGATAAGCACTGGATGGCAAGGTCTTTTGAATCACAAAGGCAGCGGTTCAAACTCACCAGCTGCTCCTTGGAAAACTGATACAGGGTCACTATGAGTTGGAACTGACTTGACGGCACTTAACAACAACAACAACAACTCTAGAGCAGTGAGGGTGGTAGCCTTTCACTGCCTGTCCTACGAGGAAGCTCAAGTAGTAAAAATACACCTACTCCTCACTTACCAACTGTCTCATTATCCGACATTTCTCATTATGACCATAGTTTAAGAATGCTCTGACTAGTTTGCACATTGATGATGTATAGTAATGCATGGTAATAGGGACTGCCGTGGTCTGAGGCGAAAGTAACGCTGTATGATGGCTGAGATCATGTGTCAACTTGGCTGTGCCATGATTCTCAATGATTTGTAATGATGCAATTTTGCAATTTTGGTGAAATAGCAGGTTACACATTGGGCTGCTAACTGCAAAGGTTAGCAGTTCGAATCCACCAGCTGCTCCATGGGAGACAGATGGAGTTCAGTCTCAAAAACCGTATATAGGGTCCCTATGAGTCGGAACTGACTCAATAACACACAACAAAACAAACAGCAATGCTGTAATTTGGCAGTTACATAATAACTTAATCATCCCACTTTGTGATTTTATATGGTCATCCTCCATTTGTACCTAACACCAATTTTAGCATAACGATCTAGCCTTGAGAACATAACCATGTACAGATTGGGTGTAAAGCTATTCCCATACTCTTCTGGCTCCATGGTGACCCCAAATGGGTACGCAGTATTCAAAACCCTGTTTGTCTGTCGTGAAGAAGGGGTAGTGGGAAGGAAGTTGCTTGTGAGCTATTGGCTTGAATAAAAGAAACAGGGTCATGATTTCTAAATACATCTGACCCACATTCACCCCTTACCCTGGAGATGGTTGTGTTGAGCCGCCCGGTGATTCCTGAAAAGTCAGCTTCTAAGTTGAATATGTTGGTGAGACCGATTTGGGACAGTATCTCTTCCAGGTTGTATGTTCCAGAGATGGAAAACCGTGGCAAATGCAAATCCAGCAGACTAGAGAGAGATAAATAGTACTAGTGGGTTCTATGTGCTGCACCTGCCTGGCTGTGGGCAGAAGAAAGGCTCATCCTAGTCTAAGAGAATCAGCATAGAACATTCTGCTACCCATAGCTCCCTCCTCTCACACCACACAGAACTCCACCAGCTGCATCTGAGCAGACTCCTGGCCAGCCCATGTCTTCATCACCATCTCTGTCCTGTGTCCCTAAAGGGCATGCTAGGAGCCAGGGGCTGAGCTGAGTTTGTGCTTTAACTGATTGACTCCACCTAATAGCCTTGTAAGGTGAACGGGTTATATAGTCTCCCACCTCCATATCTGCAACATCAACAAGTTACCTTGGTTCAAATTTCCAAACTGTCTCCTAAGTCCACCTCTCATACAGGTTACCTTTGTCTCTCACCTGTGTGACCTCAGCTATCTCGTCACCACCCAGCTATGTCCTGTCAGCCCACAACACCCTGAGAGAGACTGAATGCTCATTTTATATCATTCCATTTTGGGATGGCTTTTTGTCCGCAATAAGCAAGCTGACCTCAGGGCCTGACTTTAGTCCTTAAAGGAAGATGCAGCCCAAGAAGGGAGGAGCCTGGAAAGGACCCTGAGGAAACAAAGAATGGAAGCTGCCCTGGCAACACCAGACTCAGGAAGCAAGTGAGGTGAAAGGCAATTGGATAGTGATTGCATAAAAGGGGCACTTGGATTTTTACAATTCTCTTGTTGGTATTTTGTTATATATATATATTGAATTTTTAAAAGAGGCACCTTTGAAATTGCATGCAGTCTAAATGGGGCTGGTGAAAGGAGATGGGGATGAGACTCTTGTGGTTCAGTAGTGAGTAATTGTAATTTTTATTAGGACTGATTGTGATTGTTGCAACTGTAAACCTATAGGTTTTGTAGCAAAAAGAAGGGAGTGCTGATCTTACAGTCCAGGAGCAGAGGACCCTGGGGCCATAAAAGGAGAAGAGCAGGGCAGAGTGCAGTGCCCTATCCAGAGAAGCAGCGATGCCAGAGATGGAGGCAGAGATGATGATGTGGAGAGATGGAATGGCTGGGGACTCTAGACTCATGGAAGGAGAGGGGCTGGCAGCGGGGCGGGTAGGGGGGAGCAGCCTTGCATGGTATGCCCTTTGGGTGTTTGAATGATTCTATATTCCTGAATGCTTTGGTGTACATTCAAAACAACAAAAACGAGAGTGAATAGAAACAAATACTGTTGAATGCTAATGCATGGAGGGAATTGTAATCATTGCAATGAAACGAAATACGATAGAATGAGTGTAAAGCTGATGTTCTCCCATGTAAACTACCACTCAACTCACAATAAAGACTTTTTTAAAAAGTGCACACACAGTTTTGTGGGAGTCATCGCTGTTCTCAATGTTACTGCTCTTTATTACCACGGAGTCAGTCTCCATCATTGTATTTGGTCTTATTCATTGGCAGTACTCAACTATCTTCTGGCAAATGTGTGTCACATACGATAAGCACGCTTAGCTGCAAAAGGACAGATTGCAGGTTTGAGTCCACCCAGAGGCACCTCAGAAGAAAGACCTGGCAATCTACTTTCGAATAACAACAGCCATTGAAATCCCTATGGAACCAGAGCAGAAGAAAATGACGTGAAAAACCAAAAAAACCAATAGAGTGTTTTGTGTTGTTGTGTTTGTTTTGTTGCCAATTGACTACGATGTCCCCTGAGAGTATGATCCTGATACCTCAGGACCAGTAGCTGATTTCCTCAAGGGTTTAGTAATGTCTAAGAAGTTTTCATAATTTCGCCCCCTGTGTGCTCCACCATATTCATGAGTATGTTAGCAGCAAAGGTATATTCCTATGCACAAATTGCCTGTCAAACCTATATATATCTGTGGACATGTTTCCTATTCTCTCTCCAAATCCATTCAGCCTCGGTATCTGCCCCTGTATTTAGCTGTGGATGGCTCTTATTGCAGAATTGTATATATAGCATTATCGGCATCTCTCTCAACTGACTCCTGGACTCCTTGCTGTGTTTTCCCCTGCCTTAATCATTCTTCCAGTGGTGCATTGTTGTTGAGAGGAAGAGGAGAGCCAGAAGAAATGAGGTTGTGGCCAGATAGATACTCAAGAAGGGAGAATAACATTTATCACGCAAGTGAGCACTTAGTATGCACTAGGAACCATTCTAAATTCTCTACATACTAACTCAATTAATTTTCCAAGCAGCCCAATAGGTGAGTATGAGTTCCTCATATTTACAAGTGAGCAAATTGAAGGCCCAAAGAGGTGAGAAAAATTTCCAAGACACACAGCTATAATTTGGGTTCTTGCAATTAGAGCTGCTTAAGATTTGCTCAGGTTCTTGAACAAGGTCTTCCAGAAAGGACTGGTGCTTACCTGGGCAAGAGCAGCGGGTCCCATTTTCTCAGGATCTCTGGCTGCAGTGCCATCTCCACCTGCTTCATTTTCCCTGGGTCAGGAAGGAGTAGCAGAGCCTGGGCGTTCCCGCTGTATTCTATCTGGAGGACTGTGCATGCCAGTTCCTGGTCATAGAGGAACCTGTGCATTTCCTTCTGGTGCATCATGGGTACCCGGAGAGAGGTCCTCTGGTCTGCAAAGAAGCTCTCCTGCTTCTGGGTGTGGTAACGTGTGAAAGGATGCTTCCACTTGGCTTGGAACAAGAACCATAAAGCCATGAGAGCATTCTCCAAGAGAGCAGCTCTGGGAAGACATCCACAAAGCCACACTGGTTTGGTGACTTCTGGTGCCAGTACAAGCTGAGATTTTGGTCTGACAGCCCCTCACACAAACCCCCAGAGCTTGAGCCCCAATGATCTGTGATTTTGCTCCATTTCTGTTCAGAAATGTAACTTTCAAGAGATGAAAACTTATTCCCATCCACTAAGTGCCTGCTAGGAGACTTTGGGTGGTACCAATGGTTAGCGGGCTTAGCTGCTTAACTGAGAGGCTTGGAGGGTTGAGTTCACTCAGAGGCACCTCAGAAGAAAGGCCTGGCAATCTACTTTTGAAAAAAGCAGCCATTAAAAGTCCTATAGAATCAGAGCAGAAAAAAAATGAAATGCAAAACCGAAAAACAATAGAAAGATTCAACAAATCCAGAAGTTGGTTGGTTGAAAAGGTCAATAGAATTGAAACCCTATGGACCATAGGTTTTCACATATAGGGTGGCCATGTGTGAAGGATTTAAGCACCTTCTATATGTAGGAGTCCTGGTGTGGAGTTGTGGGTTAATGTGCCACACTGCAAAGCCATTTGAACTGCAAGATCGGTGGTTCAAGCTCACCAACTGCTCCTCGGAAACACTATATAGGGTCGCTATGGATTGGAACTGACTCAACAGCACTTAACAACAGCAACAATATGTGGGAGAGTTCAGTGGCTCTGTAGGATAAGCACTGGACTGTAAACTCCAAGTTTGATGATTGGAGCCTACCAGTTGCTTTGTGGGAGGAAGATGAGGCTTTCTACTCTCGCAAAGATTAGCAGCCTAGGAAACTCTCTACTGGATTACTATGAGTTGGAATGGACTCAACGGGCATCTAACAATAACAACATGTGGGAGGCACTCTTTCTGTAAGTCTTCACAAAAACTAACATGAAACAAGTATTATTATCCCCATGGGAAAGATGAGGGAGTGAATCCCTGTGAATTTATGTAAACGTCCCTAGTTTGCAGAGCACTTATGTGGTAGAGTTGGGGTTGGCTTCCTCAATCGGCCTCCTTAGCTCTTAGTTCTTTGAAAACATTGAAGCCGTTCTTCTCTGCTAAGCTACTTGTAGACAACAACTTTCTAAACTAAAATACCACCTCCTCTAACACCCTAATACTCAAACTGGAAAAGAAGAAAGATTCTAGGGTATGTAATGCAAAAACCCATGAAGATATAGCTAGATAGTCAGAATCTGTCAGTCTTCATCGTGTTCATGTGTAATGTTGTTAGATGTTGTCGAGGTGGTTCTGGCTCATAAAGATTTCATGTACAACAGAACCAAACACTGCCAAGTCCTGTGCCATTCTTACAGTTGTTAAGCTGCCACTGTGTCACAGTGTCTCTTTGGGAGTCTTCCTTGTTTTCGATGACCCTCCATTTTACCAAGCATGATGCCCTTCTCCAGGGACTGGTCCCTCCTGACAATATGTACAAAGAATGAGAGGCAAAGTCTCACCATCCTGGCTTTTAAGGAGCATTCTGGCTGTACTTTTTCCAACACAGATGTGTTTGCTCTTCTGGAAGTCCATGGTACTTTCAATATTCTTTTCTAACACCTAAAGTCAAATGCATCCATCCTTCTAAGGTCTTCTTTCATATGCAT